CTCGTGACTTAAAAATAATTTATGTTCCTTTGCTCCCTTCCATACATCACTGTCGGAGACTGGAAAGTTTTATCGTTTGCTACCCTTGTTTTCTGGTGTTTTTTTTGTGCAGCTGATGGCAGCACTGGACAGGTGGCGCGTGTGGTAGTCTCGATGCTACATGATTCAGCAGTTTTGTTTCGGATTAGATTCTGTTTTGTTTCTAGTTGTGCTAAGTGTTTTATTGGCATAGTGTTCAGTTTTCTTGTCAAAAGCAAGAGAGATAAATTGCTGTAACAGAGAATGGGCATTACATTCTTAGTCAGATTTGATTAAAACGACACGCATTTTCAGAATGTTATTCAGAGTGTTTTCGCAGCAAGAACAAACTTTTATGTGCGTTGAATGAAGATCTATTAAAAATGTCGGACGACGTGGTTTGATTCCAGTGCCGAAACTGTTACTGAAAAAGTGGATATTTTTGTAGCAGAAGCGAACGCGGACAGAGACGACATAATGAGATTAATTTGATGGGATTTATGTGAATATTAGACAATACCGTGCCGACGCGGACAGAGACGACATAATGAGATTGATTTGATGGGATTTATGTGAATATTAAACAATACCGTGCCTAAAATGTTACCCAAAAATAGTTTTAAGTATTTTCTTGAAAATGGAATATTCCTCTTTGCAAAATATAAGGGTGCCATCTTGGATCATTCGCCATGATGGACTTCTGTGGCAAGACGTGTGAATTATTAAAGTCTCTGAAACCAAAACTTACGCCGAAATTGTTTAATTTCGATTCGGAAACTGTGTAATATAGGGCGAAATGTGGACAGTGCTGCAATGTGCGTGTAAAGACAGCTGGAGAATACTACTTAGCGAAGGTTAGTAACAAAGTGCATGTTAAGTAGGATTTAAGGTTTTCACAGCGGTAAGTCCGAAGATGGCTGTCTTCTGGGTTGCTGTGCCGTGTAAGCGTGCAGAAGTTTACCGACGTTTCAGAGGTCCTTGCTGCCTCCATCATCAGGGCGAAGTGTTTTTTTTTATATGGAACCCGTACTTTTTTTGGATCGTTTACAGCTAAACGTTACGGAAATGCATTTTATTACTTTATTCGTGTTTGTCTGTCTGTCCGTCCCCATTTAACAACTCGAGAACCATTGAACGAATATTTATTAAATTTGATATTGGAGGATGTTAATCAAATTTATCAACACATTTAAATTTCTGATTTAGATCGTGGGGAATCTCGGTGTGGGGAATCCCCAGGAGGGTACGAATGCGACATGTGTTATGTTGCTGAACGTAATGTGATATCTATTTGACTGACCAAGGAGAAATGCATTTTGACAGTCGAATGTCCTCCTTGCAGTGTACAAACGGACCGGAGGCTGTGAAGTTACGTAAGAGGGCGTGGTTTGTGATGACGTCTGGGGAGGGGGGGTTAGTTTACAGAGAAGGGTAGAGGTATTAAGGGGTTGTGTTGTTTCCGAGTGTTTGAAGCTGAAACTCCAGGGAGTTATAAATATTTTAAATATCTTGCGGGTAGATTAGGTGAGAAGGGGGTAGTGTAGTTGTTGTATGAGGGCGCTAGATGATTATTATTAATTCCGTTTTGTTATCAGCCCCGCTGCTAATTACTCCGTTGTCGCACATAGATCTTCACTTGTTCTTTCAGCACTACC